CCAAAATGAAATAATATGAAAATTAAATAAATTAAATAAAAAAAGCACGTAGATTGATGAAAAAAAAGCAAAAGGAAAAAGAAGAAGGAAAAAGCATGTACAATGAAACAACTTGAAATTAATTAATTTTTTAATAAATTTTATGTTTAAAAAGCATAAATCATTCTTCTTTATGGATTGATTTGAAAATAAAAAAATATAATAATTTTAACTAAAATATTAATCACTAATTAAAAAAACTTTTACAAAAATAATTTTTATAATATTGTATTCTAAAAAATAAAGTTATAATTAATAGACAGATTTTTACAAAAATCAACAAATGAAAAAAAAAAAGAACATAAATTGATGGAAAAAAGTAAAGGAAAAAAAGACGTGTAGTGCATTAGCTAATGGACTAAAATTTTTATTTTAAAATTTTAAAAACCAAAATGAAATAACCTGAAAATTTTAAAAAATTAAATAAAAAAAAGAATCATGTTGATGGGGGAAAAAAAGCAAAGAAAAAAAAAGCATGTATAGTGAAAAAACTTTTTAAAAAAAACCTTCGCTACGGAATGAATAGTGATTTGTAAGCTAAGGAGAAAATATTATTATTGGGACAAAAATCAAATATCATAAAATTTTAATGACCAAAATAAAAAAATTACAAAACAGAGATTAAAATAAAAATAAAGACCAAAAGAGAGGCTTAGCTAAGGCAAGAGAAAAGAAAAGAAACAACTTAAAAAAAAAAATACTAAGAGCCAATAAAAAGAATTTATTATAGGGACAAAAATCAAATATAATAAACTTCTAATAACCAAAATAAAAAGAAGATTACAAAATAGGGATTGAAATAAAAATAAAAGCCAAAAAGAGAGGCCTAGCCACGATAAGAGAAGAAAAAAAGAGTGTTACAAAAATGAATCGTATTACATGAAGGGATTAACAGTGCTTGCAACTGTTTAAATACTGATTGCAACTGTTTAAATACCTCACGTCTTTTGGTTTATAGTAATTAATAGAGAATCATTAAGCAAAAAGGTTAAATTGACAATTTTCTGTACGCAAGGACTAGTTATGTTTTTTATTTTTTGTTGCATGTTTTCCTTTATATTTTTATCTGAAATTTTAATAGTTGATTGATATATGTAATTTTTAGTTATTTTCAACATCTTGGAATATTTGGTTGTCATTGCGTATTTATTTAATATTTTTAAATATTATTATTGCTTGTTTATGAATTTAATCATTTAACCTTCTATTTATTTTTTTTAATCTGAATTTTTTATGGTTTTTTTTTTTATGTATCAACAATCAGCATGCAGTTTGGAATTTGTAATTTTAAATTTTTATTTTCTATTTATTTTGGATTAATTTCATATTCTATCTTATTTTTTTATTATTAGCATAGTTTGTTTATGAAATTTAATTCTTTGTCCCAAATTTTAAACTTTGATTAATTTAAATTTTGTTTGGTATGTTTGTGTATTTATATATAGACCGTGTGTCAAATTTTAAAATTTTATGATTTCATTGGCTATTTGTTTTGAATTATTTATCATTCGGTGGTCATTTAATTATTAATGTATTTTATTTTGGAATTTAGTGTTTTTGTTTCAGGTTATTTTTTGTGTCATCACCCATGTTGATTTTTTTCCCAACAAATATTCATCAAAATTACTCTATGCTCATCACATTTTGCTAATTCAACCATAATTATAATTCATCCAATATGTAGAGGCTATAAATTAATTTTTTTGGATACTCCAATTGGACTGAATTGACAAAATGTGACGAATTAAGCGTTACTTTAATAAAAAGTATTTTTATAGGGGCTTCTTTATTAAATTGACACAAACACAGACCTGGTGAATTTCGGTTGTATTGTAAAACCTCTCAATTTGAGACACAATTAAATTAAAAACCTAGCCGTCGCGTTTTCGTCTGTCAATTAGTATCACAAGAAGGGAGAATGCAGATTTTGGTGAAAATGGCGGCGGGAAAGACCCTAACACTGGAGATGGAGTCTTCAGACACCATCGACTATATAAAGGCTAAAATCAAAGACGAAGAAGGCATCCCGCCGGAACAACAACGCCTAATATTCGCAGGAAAACAGCTGGAAGATGGCCATACCCTTGCTGACTTCAGCATCCACAAGAAGAAGAAAAAGAAGCCCCTCGAGCTTGCTTTGCTCCAGGTTGATGGTGCTGATGCTGCACCGAAAGTGTTAGGTAACATCTTTTCATAGGAAATGCTTAAAATTGTTCATTCTTGGTGTTTGGTATTATTATATTAGGTATAAACTGTGTTTAAGCTGTCCAAAATTTAGAATCAGAAGCAGCAGTTGCCTCGACTAAAGCTAGAAAAGCAAAGAAGAAGAAACGCGCTGCATCTGATACCGGGGACACAATTGATACTGGTATGGATTTGTCATACAGTTGATTTTTAATTCTATTTACTTTTCCTTGTTTGTGTTGTCTGCAGTTCCTTTGCATAACTTCTCATTATGTTTAGCACTAGAAAGATTAGGATTTTGACTCGATAAGGTGAATGGTTTTTTTGTTTCTCCCCTGTTTTTGTAATTGGATTTAGTTGAAGTTTTCATAAACTTCATAGAAGCAGATAATATATTGTTTCGAGGCAATGATCTGCTCGGTAGTCCTAGATCTGCTCGGTAGTCCTACTGTCGTACAGCTTACCCCTTCCATTTAAGTGAAAGTTCATTTCTTTTTTAATTTGGCTCTGATAGGAGAAAGAGGATTTCCTTAATGGAAAATATTGGGAATAGTTACTTTTCCTTGAAGGCAATTAGCTTTGACTGAAGACAAGTTTTTATTAATTGAATAGCAATTAAATGTTCGACAGTAAAGATTTGGAGAAACAGGATTATGGTGGGATGAGGTCCTCAAGTTTTCTCATTGACTTCAATGTTGAAATTAGCCTTGTAACTGATATCATGCTGCCATTGCTGTACTGGTGGCTATCAAGCATGTACTTCTAGCAAAAAGCAAGGAACCAAACCCCTCCTAATATATTTAGACACGCACATGTGCATGCAGTCTTACTTCTGTGATGATGCCAATTATAGTCAAATACTTACATTTGGCTCCTCCTGGTGTTTTACCATAGTAGTTGGAGCTACCAGTAGTGGTGGTGTGACTCAAATGTGTGGCAACTGATTGTGTAATTCTCCAGTTTTGTTTGGTAAAGTGGTGTTGGATTTTATGAGATTTTAGCTCACCTGTTATGGTGGTAGTCTTCCTTTTGTAATTTCTAAATTGAATGTTTATATATCCTCATAGATTCACTCCTCTGATATAGATCATGGTGAAGCAACTGATGGAGTCCTTGTTGAGTATGATGTGAATGAGCCTACCATGGGCGAAAAACTTGCTAGTATAACTTTACAAGATAATGATAAAACCAACAGCCATGAGTTACAAGAATCACCTCCTCGTGCAAAGCCGCCAAGTGCTGACTCAGTTAACGTTCTTCTTAAGCAAGCATTGCGTGCTGATGATCGTGCACTTCTGTTAGATTGCTTATACAACCAGGATGAGAAGGTTATTTTCTCCTCTTTAGCTATGTTAATGGTGCTCTTCTGTTAGATTGCTTATGCACCCAAGACGAGAAGGTTGTTTTCTCCCATTTAGATATGTTAATGCTGAACTTTCCCTGAAGGAGGTCTTACTTTAGTGTTAAACTAATTGCTATTGTGCGTCCCATGAACTTGCGCCCAGCAGATTCCTTTTTATATTTGTTTTCAGTAATTACTTTTTTATCAAGAAACAAAATGTACAGGTATGTAACTCAGAAATTTTCTGTTTGCAGGTTATTGCAAATTCAATCTCGCTGCTTAATCAATCCGATGTTCTCAAGCTTTTACACTCACTTCTATCCATAATTCACTCAAGGTAGACAGTTACTTGTCTTATCAAGTTGTGTCTGCTGAATCTGACAGTTCATGTTCGTGTTATCTGTCCATGGTTCTTTCAAATTGCTTTTTTTTTTTTTTTTTTTTCCGTAATAACCATAGTTTGTGGATTTTCATTGAACACTTTTTAACCTTATGATTCTTTAAAGGAGGAAGCAAAAGTACTGTTTGAATTCGAACTGAGCATATTTTACTGTGAGGTCTTAGGTGATGTGTTTTTGTTGCAGGGGTGCAATCTTGGTATCCGCTCTTCCTTGGCTAAGAGATTTACTTCTTCAACATTCAACTGGAATAATGTCCCAGGAATCTTCTTTACTTGCTTTGAATTCCTTATATCAGGTGATGAGAACTTAACCCTGGAAAGACTGATTAGTCATGCATAGCAATGAAAAAATCTTTTTCATCTGTAAATTCATGTCTATCCATACATTATGAACTTCCTTTTTGTATTTCATCTAATTATTTCGCCCTCTTTTGGATATCAAATTGTTTGTCATTTGGAATCCAATTGAGACAATCAGATATTGGTTTTCGTTAAAATTTCATTGCAGGAATTAGACTAGTCTTTCCTGATGGAGGTTATAATTATTAGATTATGGCGTATCTCACATCTTTTTGATGTGGTGATGCTTGCGTTATTACATAAGCTATTGGATCTAAATTGGATCATTACTATATGATTCCTCTTAAAGTTTTAATTGGATACTTGTGTCATTGTTTATCAGCTCATCGAATCCCGAGTGTCAACTTTCCAGTCAGCTCTTCAATTGTCAAGTTGCTTAGACTTACTCTATGCAGGGGTATGTTTTTGTGCGATATTAAGCAGTTAGTGGAGTATGCAGCTTGTAATTATTGGTAATGTGATTCGTTTCTTTCTTTCTGCTGTAAACAGGTCATTGATGATGCATTAGATGAAAAGGAAACAGTAACTCCTGTAATTTATGAGGACAATGATGACAGTGATGAGGAGGAATCTGAAGATGCAATGGAAACTGATGAAGATAACAAAGAGGAGGAAGCATTTGATGGACTTAGTGATATTTAAGGAAGTGATGGCATGAGTGAGTGATAGTGTCATTCAAGCCTGATTTTGGTTGCCGTTTTTGACAACATTTGACAGTTGATGGTGTCCTAGGATTAGGGGCCTTCAATTTCAGTGATAAGTAGATGGGACATCTCTTCTTTCAGTCCAGGGGACATTGATTCTTTTGACAGATTTATAGAAAACCCCTTCAGGTTCGCTTTCTGCGGAGCACAAAGATATTTAGGAAATTTTTGGCTAGAAGCATATGTCGGGCTTGCAAACTTGGTCTCTGTTATTGTTTGCAAGAGAAATAGTACACTATAGGCAGGGTTGTATTGCTTATCTTTTTATCATCATCTTTTTTTCTCTCCCCTCTTGTAGAGTAACTCTTCCTTCTTGCTGCTTACCGGCATTTTGAGAAACCACAACAAGATGTTGTACTTTCTCTTGTAGGAAATGCCAGCCGGTTTCTTTATTATGTCATGGGTCGGGCAGAATAATATTATTTTATAATTTTTTTATTGAAAATTTTTATTTTATTAATTTTTTATGTTTTTTTAATAAATTTTCTATTTAAAAAAGCATAATTATTTTTTATTGATTCTTAAATAAAAAATGTAATAATTTAGATTGAATTATTAATCAATAATTAAAAAAATACTTTAAAAATATTATTTTTATAAGATTGCATTCAAAACTTGTATAAAAATTAATTAATAAAAAAATAATTTTTTATGTTATTTAATGTTGGTGAGAAGATTATTTTTTAAAAGCATATGTATTTGATTTATATATATTTATTTATAAAATAATTAATACTGTTAGCATAAAAAATTGTATTTGAAGAATTGAGTAGTTTGTTTTAAAAAATTATTTTATTTAAAAAATATTTTTATAATGTTAAAGAAAGTATTTATAGAAAATAGTTGGTGTTATGATTAAAAAAATATAGTTAATTTTTAATCAGGTTGATGATTGAATTTTTTTTTATACGTCTTAATCATATTTAGTTAATTAAGATAAATTATTTGAAATATATTTTTAATTTTTAATATTAAAATAATTATATATATATATATTATTTAAAAATTCTAAGAATTCATGATATATGTTTTATCATTTTTTTTTAACAATCATGTTTTAAAATTTTATTCTAAAATTCAAATATAGAGAAAAATATATTATATTTATCTATAAATAAAATTTTATATGATTTTTTTTTAATTGGATGAGAGTTTTCATAAGAAACGATAAATTCAAAGAATAAACTTTAAATAATAAGAGTAATGTAATATAAAATAGATATTAATTTTAAAATATAAAAATATACTATATATATTTTTTATTTTTGTTATACTATGTGAAAAACACAAATAATAACAATCGATATTCAATATTTTTGCCTAAAAAGTCTTAATTAAAAAAAAAAAGAACAAAAAAGAAAAAAAGAAAAACAAGGACAACGCTTGGTTTAATTGGCTTGGGCTCCTAGGCCTAGAGCACCAAATTTCGTAAAAAAAAAAGAAAAAGTTGAAAAATTATCATTTCAATCTCTCAAAACTAAATTCAGTCATAGTTTTGTTCAAAAACACCTCAAAATTATAGAAATAACATAAAAAAAAATTTAATTAAAACCTCAAAACTCATTTTATGTACATAAAATACACAAAAGTTCAAATCAAAACAAAAATACTAAAAATATCATTTTACTATTTCATGACATTTTACTATTTCATGACTCATAATCATCACTAAACTTCTATTCTTTGAGACGAATAAATTGGTTGTAAGCTTGATCTGGAATTGCGCCCCCCCCCCCCCCCCCCAGTGTGCAGGTATCAAAACAAATGAAATATAAAGTTGCAGTCCGAAGAAAATGTTTATAAAAGGACCAAAATGTACATTTTCAGAGATACAGTGTAAATGTACAGAGAATAAATAGTGATTTTAGAGATAATGAATAGGAAACAGAGAGCATTTTTCGTAACAAGAGAAACACAGACTGCAACTGCTACATCATTTCATGTATTTACGGTTCGGCTTTTTGAGATATATGATTTCTTTTTGCTAATCAAGAAAATAGTAGTCTCAAACAGAGTCCGAATGGGATTAGATTTGATAACTTTTCTAGCTCAAAACTCATTTAACCCGCATGAAAGCAGCCGCTCCTTTTTTGGTATCACTTTCATTTTCGTTGCACAGGATGATTCGTCACTTTGAGTGGAGCGGTTGTCCAACAGTCTTCTCAAGAGCCTGTCCGTTACAGTTTTACTAGAGTAGCGTTGGCATTGATTGAAACAAAAAAAAAATTTCACAGTTGGGTTATTGTTGCATGAAATTTGCAGGGGCGAACTTTGGTCTTTTGTTCTATAGATCCTTGGCATCCAATACCAACGTAGTTTCTACAAAAAACAATTCGTTTGCTCAAATATTCAGGTCCACGAAAATTCCCTAAAATCTGAAATCTCTACTTCGGGATAAATGAAAGTTCGAGCAAGAGAAACTTGCTGGCTAGTCAAAATGCAGAAGAATCGCTGTTATGTCAGCTAAATGGATTTCGTCCAAAATCAACACCACGGAGTAAATTTAGAGGATAAAACCACACTTGTAAACAATTGTACCTAAAGCAGAACTAACCAATCCACATACAATGTTTTGATTTATCTTTTTTTTTTCTGAAGAAAAAAAATCGTGATTCGAGCTCAAACTTTTCAATCAAATAGTAATTGCTTCTGCATTCAATTTTTCATTAATGATTAAATAATCATAAAAGTTTCTGTAAGTCCTGACTTGATCATTTGATGTGATCAAGTTCAGCAAGATCAGGCCTACTCACAGAAAAGCGAAAAAATAAGCGGAAGGAATACAAGATTTTAATTTCATAACAAAGTTAAAACTACAATGAATCCCTTCATATAAGACACTAATGTTTTATTTTTGTGACTTGAAGCATTCCAAGATGCTAAACTTAGGATCTTTAAAAAACTAAAGGAAGCCCATCTAGCAACTCGGCCAGCTAAGTTGAAAGGACTTGAAAAACATGCCCAAACAAAAAACACAAGAACATGAAGATAACCCAGAGAGACATTATAGATATAGATCCCATGCACTTGTTCATGCATATCAGGCTAACTAAAACTAATACTTGGTCTCCTTATGTGTAGTGGTGTTCTTATAACCAGCAGGATCCTCTGTCTCATCTCTCCTGGTATAGATGTCCTCATCCTCACCAGGGCCACCCATACCAAGAGTATGCTTGACTGTATCTTTAGCACTCTCAGCCATCTGCATCACTTTCTCCTCAGTTTGCTCCAGAACGCCCTTGGTCTTCTCCTTGCTTTCCTGGGCCTTCTGCTCGGCAGACTCGGTAGTCTCTGCTGACTTTTCTCTTGCATCTTGGGCCTTCTGTGAAGTCTTCTCTTTGGCTTGTTGGGTTGTCTCAGATGTCTTGTCCTTGGCGTCCCTGGCCTTCTCCTTCATGGTATCAGTCACTCTACCAGTCTTCTCCTATTGAGGCAATAAATACATTAAAAAAAAAAAAGAACAGTTGCCAATTATGCAAAAAATAAATTCCTATGGTATACCTCAGCTCGGCCTTGGGCTTCTCCTGCTCTGTAGCTCTGCTTATCAGATGCCATTTTGCTCTTCAAAATTGGTAGATATTTCTCTTGCTAGCTTTCTTTCTTTTATGTAACGTATAGTTGCGTGCTTGTAACAAAACTTAGTTGCTGTGAATGCAAAGGCCATCCAGCTTGCATGAAATTTTATAGCCTTAGGATGGTTACTGTATGATTCGCACGTGTCCTTCTTGCTGACACTTGTAGGGCACGTGTCTCGTGTATGTGAGAAATCCTGCTTCGTGTGTCGGTTCGATGTTTTTATAGAAGAAAGAAGGATTGGATCGAAGGCACAACCGATAAGGTGACGCCACGTTGGTGGTTTCCTATACTCAGATGGAACGTGTCAAGAGATACACTTTTGATACATTACTGTTAGATTATTCATTTGTTTGGGTATATGGTTAACGAATACTATACAGTACTATATCCGTATTCTGTTTCTTTATTATTTTCACTGAAAAACTAACATTTTTCTAAAGTAATCCTCATTTACTAATTTAGCATGGTTAAATTAAACGATCAAGAAAAATTTGAGAAAATTTTCTTATTTACAGGAGAATTAGTGGAGGAACATGGTTTTATTTATTAGAATAAAAAAAAACAATTAATTCGTTGTTTAATTAAATTCTTTTAACCATTTTAATTTACTGATATAGATTTTTATTCCCATACATATAAGCAATCAATTGACCAAACTTTTAATGAGGTCTACCTTCGGGATTTCGCAATTTTATGAGGGATCTCCAACAACAAAACATAAGACGTAGTTGAGATACACCACACATGTTAATGATGATTCCAATGCCAATATTCCATATCTTAGATAGCTTGTAAGCTTTAGGCGTCAATTCTATTTCCAAGAGGCGTTTTTTCATAAATACAAAATTCATCGTAAAGCCACGAACTCAAAAGTAGAACAATACTTTTTGAGGGGCCTGTCATAAATCGAATTTGGACTGCGTCGTATGTGAAAACGTGGATTATGTGCTCTCGGCTTTCAGGCCCTTCAACTAGGAGGCTATCGATTATTATAATACCAATATTCTGCATCGATTACGAGTCGTAAACCAATATCGATTAAGCAGCGTATAAGCTCTAGGTACGTACGACCTCTCATCTCAGTAGACACTTTTTTCAAAATAAAACTCACTGTAAGGCCACAAATCTAAACGTAGAAACAGTATCTGAGAGATCATTCATATAACCGATTTAGACCAATATTGAAAATAACAGTATAGGTTTTGTGTTTATGAAAATAATAGTACGATTTATTGACAAAAATTTGACATTTTTTTTTTGAAGTAAGGTATTTAGGAACCAATTTTTGAACCTATCGAGATTTAAAATTTATTTGGAAGATCTCAGGGACAAATTCTCTACATCAATATTGTGCACTAAAAAAAATTAATAAATTTATCTTAATACGTACGTACGGACTCCAAAATTTGCTGGGTCAAAAAAATAAACAAATCTTTTTAACCACGACAGTAACTCCTTGAAGTTGGCACAAACACAAAACTTGACATTGTGACCTTCAATTCGTACTCCGTAGCTCGATTCTTTAAATTTGTCTTCAAACATTGCTAAATTTCCCGAGCTAGGTTTGTCACTAAAGAAATGGTCCAGAGTATATAGAATTCATGAAACCCGACAACCAACCACATAGTCACAGTGTTGATATGATCAGATTCGTCAAACTTTCACCTTAAAAATATGTGCATAAAATTTTGTATGTCTTTGTGTCCGGTATGATGTCAAGAGACACAATAAAGGCTTGAAGATGCTTCACCTTTCAATTCAGAGATTGAATTGTGAGTGATCAAACGTTCAAAATATATATGTGTGTCTGTGATATATTTGGGTTTTTCACGTTTTTTCATCATTGTTCTTCGATGATCGATTATCTTCAAATACCCTATTTTTCTCACTACTTTAGATCTTTATTAGTAAAGTTCACTTTGTTACCTCCAAGTTCCTCAATTACTCACAATTCTAATCTTTACACATTGTCTGATTTTGAGTACTTAATAGTTTAAAAATAGATGTGAAAAACTAGAAAAAACAACTACAACAAATAGGGGTAGAAATTAAAAGGGAAAAGGTATGAACATGTTCATTTACAAATAACACACACCAAAAAAACAAAAAAACAAAAAAACCAAAAAGTTTTATCGTATTCTAATAAATTAATTTTTTCACTGCCTCTTTAACGGAGTTCATGTTAGATTGTATTAACTATGCTATGCTCTTTCTATATTTAAAAAATACCTTTCAAGTTATTTTCTTTTCATTTTTGTCATAATAGCTAAAATATATTTTCATAACTAATTGTTATTCTAAGTTTACTTTAATCAAACCTTAATCATCTCTCTCTCTTTCCTTGCGGTTTTCTCGTGGGAAAAAAACTATACCCTCCGCTTGTGATTTTTTCACCGAGGACAGCCCTTTATCTCCATGGTTCTTCGTTTTTTTTTTCTTATTATTTTTTTTTAATTTTGTTTTGTGCTTTTTTTTTGGTGTGTTAACAAATTAAATTCGATTTGTGCATGAATTTCCTATTTTATTAGCATGTTGTCTCATTAAAATAAGGTTTTAAATTTTGATATTTTTTTATTATGTTGTGGTAAATGTTTCTTGTTGGAAAAGAAATTGATGCCATTTTGCAATTTTGGATGGTTGAAACTTTTCATCAATGGAGCCTGATAGTACGGTAAGTTCTTTCATTGATTTACGATGATGCCAAGCTCAAGTTAAAAAAATCTCATCTTGGCAGTCCTCATCCAAAAGTTTCAATAAGTTTTTTTAATTTCCATAAAGAGACTCTGCTATCTAAAAGATTATTTATGTATGATCCTCGTTGATTTATGGTGGTACTAAACTCTTGTAAAATAAATTTTATTTTGAGCAGTCCTATCATCAGAAAGTTTTAGTGAGATTTTATCAACTTCCATGAGAAAATTTTTTGTATTTAGAAGATTATTTATCCACTATTATTATAAAAGAATTCTATTTATTTATTTTTTAATGTGACAAGTTGTAATTTCCTTTTTAGTTTTAGGTATCTTTGTGTTACAAAGATGGTGACGTATTCGTTTGATTTATATGATCAGCCAAAGTACTATCTTTTATAAGAAAATAATACTTTTAATTGTTTATAAAATAATGAATGTATTATAATATTTTGCAAATCTTAAGTCAACTAGAACATAATTAAAATTAAAAAAAAAATTGATTTTTTTCATATTTTTAAATCTTCTTTTGGTAGAAAGTTGTATGCTAAAGCCTTTTAATTCCTTGGAAGAATTGTATGCGATAAAATTTGAGGATAATTACAGTGTGATAATATATAATTGTTTTAATCTTTTCAACAAATTAACAAAAAACAAGTATGATAGAACTGATAAGTCATTTATCTCTCAAAGTAAATTTATTCATACTTTTTTTGTTATATATATATATATATATATATATATAACAAAAAAAAAGTATGAATAAATTTACTTTGATATATATATGGGGACTTTTAAATGTCCATACGGTCGGACGATACCATGGTCATCTCTAATAGATTAGGTAATTTTATCCATTTCCATCCCTGTTTTTGTAAATATTTGAAAATATAAAAATCCCTATATTACCAATACCACCTTAATATAAATAATTAAAAAGGAAACTCCAAAAAAAAAAAAAAACGAATAAATTGTCAGCCTTAAGGAGAACTCTTGTTGTGCCCTCACTGGCAACCATCTTTGTTTGAGAAGAAAGAATTAATTTAAATTAAATTACATAATTTGTTTCATTCGGGTCGAGTTCCCGTTCCGGCCGCAAATGCATCAATTAATATTGGTCCTTGCCTTTTACTGTTTCATATGGACCGCAATGAGGCTAGGCTTTGGATTATCATGAAGGCTGGGGATAGGTTGAGCTTGCATGGCGGTCTTTCAATTTTATTTACCCACTAAACGACATGCCGTTTTGAGTTCAAGTTACAAACTAGTTAATATTGTGTCAAAATCACTTGTTACCATAAATTCGAATCTAGTTTTTTCTTTTCTTTTCTTTTCTTTGGATAAATATGGCAACAAGACACGTAAAGAATTTAGGCATGGTATTCAAGTGTAAGTATATAGTGTAACCGAATTATTAATTTAGAGCCAAGCTTTGTCCGGACTCTAAGCCTAGGGTTTCTCCCTGTTGACTAATTAAGCACATTCCTTTGAAACATTCTACAGCCCATAATCAAACTATTATATCATGACACGTGTTTGTGAATCCATGTTATTTGGGGACTTCGTGCCACAAGTTGATGTATTTTTTAGTTATAAATTTTCTTCCAGTGTCTTTGTTTTATTCAATCAATCTGCATTCTTAATTCAATCATAAAAAAAGTAAGTAAGAAAGAAATGGCAAACAGAGGTAATGATATCACTTACCAGGCCGGTGAACTAACCGGTCAAGTTCAGGTGATTTTTCAACTTTTTATCATACATATTTTACAAAGTTGATAGCAAATTAAATACATTTTTACGTTTCATTTCTATTTATTAGATTTTATATATATGAGTTAGAATCTTCTGCTTTTACACACACACCATAATGTACTTAATTAATTTTTACTTTTCTTTACAGGCCAAGAAGGATGATCTTTTAAACCAGTGCCAGGAAGGGTGTAACGAATCCACCCAAGACAGTTCCTACACTGCCCAAGCTTCCAACTTTATTCATCAGGCAATATTGCCTATAACTTCTTTGTTTTGTTTTCTACTTTCATACGTACTTTTGTTATTAATTATCTATAGGCACCACAATCACAACCATCTCTGCTACTATAATGCACAAGAGCGTATCTTTTATTATAATTTTACAAATAGTTAAATATACCTGAATCTCTTATGCATTTTTATCTATAGTAGACACATTAATTATTTTTGTAATGGATAAGTAATTATGATCATTATAGTATTACAGTTTAAGATCAGTAAGAATAATGTAATTAATTTGTTTGCAGACGGGGGAGCAAGTGAAGAACATGGCCCAAGGAGCAGCTGAGGCAGTGAAGAACACTCTGGGGATGAACACAGAGAACAGTACTCCCACCGACAATACTAGCAGCATCAACCGCCCAATCAACCCAAGCAACCCATCCACTAGGATTTGAGCTCTTTCTTCGTTAAACACCATGCTTTCCTATGATTTTGCAGTATTTAATTTGGATTTGTTCTCCTAAGTTATTGCATGACATGTTGTGGCAATTGCTGCCTCTCTTGTGCGAGATGGCGATTTTTACATTTGTACGTTGAGATGTAACAATCTTGATTGAACGAGATGATGAGGTGTTGTCTCTCTCTCTCTCTCTTTTTTGAACGAGATGAGTTGATATCTCTTCATTCTAGTTATGGTTATAAATTTTTATTAATATATGGAAATTGTCTTTCCTTAATTTGTGTTCAGCCATCGCTTTAGATTTATAATTAAAGGTTAATTTATCGAAATCCAACTGATTTTTTGTTTCCTCTTGATTGTAATCTACATATGCATGTCAACAAAGTAATTTGCGCGCGCATATATATATATAAAGGGTTTTCCTAACATATGGCATAAGTGAAAATAGAAGTTAATAGATCCAAACAAATCATTTTATTTATAGATGTGTATTGTGATCCTAAACGATTAAATTGTGTTGATGGTGGTTAAAAAAGTGGATTGATGAGTGTGATAATTAGTTTTTGTTGTGATAGAAAGATTAATTCTATACTAGTTCTGGATACCAATTAAAAACTTACACATAAATAAAAATATCTACATTAACAAGGTTGTTATAAATTTTTTTAATTAAAATATTAAACTTCTTTCATTTACCATCATAAAAATCTCATGTTTTCTTTAAGTTGAAATGCTAGGACTGGTATAAAAAACCCCTATGTGATCCATGTTTTATCTATAGAAAGTAGGAGTTTTTTTTCCCCCCCTTAAAATGAGGTAGTTTTAAACCTTGTTTTCAAAATTAAGATTATTTTTAACATGTTTACGTACATAAGGTGCTTTATGGGACCTAAATCCATATCAATTATCCCGGTCAGTTTTTTTTTTTTTTTTAATTCGTATCTTATTGAAAAAAAGAAAAAGAAAAAAAAAAGCCCTCTTCCCTTGAAACAAATCCTAATTAAGTGATCATTTTTATCTGAGGAGGTAAAAACACAATAAATATAATTATGTGTATTTTGAGAATTTTCACAAGCTAAGTGTTTTCATTGTTTTTTTCGGTCAAACGAATGTGTGAACTTTTAACATTGTAACAATCAAATGATATATATATATATATATATATATATATATATATATATATGATTCAAATGATGAGGTGGTAGTTATGATATGGATATTAAGTGATTACATGATGACTCAAATATAACTATGATAAAAATTTAAAAAAAAAATACAAAAGAAATTGCAGGAAATTTCCATTTTTCATAAATGATCCAAACTATAATTTATAAAAATCATCTTTTTGTTATAAGTGTGATAATCTATCAAAAAATTATTGTTTTTATTTTATTCAAATTACAATTATCATGAAAAGGTTATACTACTTAGCTAAAAAAATGTATTTTATATTAGATTTATAGTAAAAATAAATTAATCAAATATGAAAATATAAAAAGAAAAAATAATTTAATATTTTACATTGCTAAAAGTACATTTTATATTTTTTGGAAAAAGTAAAAAAAAGAATTGGAGGAAAATTTACTTAAAAACTGTTTTTTCTGTGTCATTAGCGCAATATCGTCGGTTAATATCCATGTCACAATTATCACATCTCTTAAAGGACACTTAACAATGTTCCCATGTCATACATATCATTTCTTTAAATTTCACTTGTGTTACAACTTTATGTTAGAAATTCAATTAATTTCGCTTTGTATAAATTAATTAGATTTTATGAAAAAAAATAATTAAACTGAATACTCTAGATGCATTAATCAAAAGTAAAAAATAAATCAATCAAAAATACCATATTTATGTAGAAAATCCTCTCAATTCTAGAGGAAAAAACCACGATTTTCTCCATCATTTAATGTCCATGTCAGAATTATCACATCACTTAAATGACACTTTACAATATTTTCATGTACATAATACATATTATCTCTCCAAATTTCACTTCATTGTTACAATTTTATGTTAAAAATTCAATCACACTTTGTATAAATTAGATTTCATGAAAAAAATAATTAAACTAAATACACATAATAATCAATAATAAAAAATAAATCAATCACAAGAATGCAACCACAAAAATATCAGATTTACGTAACAAATCATCTCTATTGCAGGAGGAAAAAAATCAAGTTTTTGTTTTTTTTTTTTCAATTGCTGTCTGTTGGTAAATGTACGTATACAAAAGAAAGAACTCTTTCTTTTGTATGTATGTCTCGGCTAAACAAGAATAATGAAATAAATTTTTCTTTTCTAGTTTCCCAATAGTCATTTTCCTGTTTAACTTTTTTTTTCTAATTAATTATTTTTTTATTAATATTTTTTCCTAATTAATTTTTTAATAGCTTTTGGTAAGGTGATTCAGGGATTGAACTTATAACACATACCCAGAATTTTAAGAGTTCACGTATCTATTTGAAAAAAATAAATTCTGACACATTCAAATTGTGAAAATTATCAAAATACACACATTTATTATGTTATTATCTCTTTATCTGAGTGCTAGCAACCTGTTTGTTAAAGTAAGAATTCCTCGCTCAATGAAACCTTGAGGTGCTAAGTTTCTGCAGTAACGCTATGCGAGCCCAGGATCTACTCATGACCAGTGTCATGAACCACCATTAATTAATCTCATGTTGCTGTTGCATGTTTTCACACGGGGTGAAATCTAAACTTGTTGAAACCTGATTCTAAACAAGGTTGTGTATGTCAACAAAGAGGGCTAGTGCAACCTAATATGGCCAATCCCAAATAGTGAGGAACTGACAATATGGGGTCTCGAATGAATCTGTAGATGGTACTCCACTACTTGAATAATAATTTTGTTCCTCATAGAGAAGAGATGCAGATTTTTGTTTTCATTTTCAGGACTTTCACAAGTTAATAAGTTAACCATCTGTAGTGAGTGAATAAATTAACATTTGTTAAAATAAGGACATTTATTATTAAAATATTGCGAAAATGCAGGACAATACAGACTGAATATGTCTCCACTAATTAAGTAGTACAGAATACATACAAATTAAGGAGAGAGATATTCCTTTTATTCATAGTATCTATGGTGAGTATGAAAATCACCTATAAAAGGAACGTAAATTAATAGTTTCAGGGAGACCCAGATGTAGATTGAGTTGGAGGAGTAGGAGTAGCACAACACTCGCAGCAGAACCCTGGAGGTGGAGGTGCGCAGCATACACAAGCTGGACATATTGGTCGGGGCGGTCCAGCAAGAACTACATACATAAAATAAATAAATAAAAAATAATTAATTTGTTGGTATAAAATAAAAAGAAAATGGGGGAGAGATACTTGTATGTTTAATTAATTAATTACCTCGGTGATTCAAACGGCCTGCTTCAGCTGATGGTAAAATCGGAGACAGTACCATGGCAAAGACGAAGAGGGTCACCAAAATAGACCTCAGAGAATTACCTGCCATATTTGCGTTATCGTTTACAAAGTTATTGAATGAAGATGAATATGTATTGATATGCTAAGGATGTTTATATAGGCTTCAGAATCTTGGACCTTAGCATACCTTGTCAAAGATGGTTGAGAAAGACCGGCAGTTGTTTGAATTAATGACAAGTTCGATTTCCACACGTTTGATTCTAAATTGTTACCACTCTCGTGCAACTTTAAGGTAAGTCAATAACATATACGTACACTCAACATATACGTACACTCATCTTTTAGGATGTGTTTATTTTGGAAAAAACAAGTATCAAAAATTTGTTTTTATTTTTTATTTTTTCAGTATTTGTTTCACATTTTAAAAAAAAGTTAATGAAAAATGATTTTCAGTCAATGAAAATAATAGAGTATTTTTGAGAAAATATTTTTATTTTTTTTAATGTTTTCTCGGTTAAAAAAGACGAAAACATTTTCTTCTCACGAGTTATCTCGCTCTCGCATTATTTATCTTTCTCTCAATATATTTAATAATTTTTTTCTCTATCTTTTAATCTTAACTAAATCAAGATAATTCTCTTACCGGTAGACCACGTTCCTTTATGGTTAATTTAATCATATTTTATATCAAAAAATACTTTTTTCTCATCAATTTTTTTAATATCATCTACTTCTATTTTTTTCCTTTTTTATTTCTTACAAAAAGAATTAAATTGGGGAAAAACATGAAATATATGAAAATGATTAACTTATGAACAAGTTTTTTTAGGAATTCAAATTATAGTTTTTGCAACTATAAGAACTAAATAATTAGTTTTTTCTAAACTGCAGGGACTAAGTTATCGTTAACTAATTAAGCTTGCTATTTTAACGTGATAAAATTCTAGACCCCGTTCGCCCACCCAGCCAATAAAAGAAAAGGCAGCTTAAGAATCTTGACTTTTGGATCGAAGACTTCAACTGTTTTTAATGTTTATCCTTGGTCATTGCATAATGTAGCCCGTATGATTAATGGTCATTAACAGCTATAAATTCATCTTGTCAGTTTTCAATTTTCATGCTTGAGCGCTTAAGTTCGCTCAGCTTACCAAAATCCACAAGCAAAGGATCCATCGATGTTTTTGGAATATTGACTTTGAATATTTACGTAGTAATGGTATTAAGTATAATATTAAAAATTTGAGACAAATTAGCAGCAAATCACTATTTATTTATCTTAAAATCACTATTTAAATTACTGGTTATAAATGATAGTTTTTGTAATTTTTACAACGGTATTTTCATGATTTTTTATATCTTTCAAATTATTATCCTTTATTATATGCATTAGATATCACATGTATTTTTTGTTTATCTTTTTCATGAAATAATTAATAAAAGTCCCTCCGAAAACATAAATGCGGTCATATATAAGAGAGATTTTTATTTTTTATGATCAGTTCTTGAATGGGCAAACAATGGCAATTCTAATGCATGGAATTCATAGCTGTAAATGTAAGACCAAAAATTTCTTTAGTCTAGGCCACCTATTCGGACGAAATTTAGAGCCTACTTGAATTTCCTTAAAAAAATTGGCAGTTAGCTAGGCACAGATTAGGGAAGGAAGGCTTAAACAACTTGAGAGGATAACTTGACCGATTTCAAATTCCGAAATTTTATTCGCAAGGCTGACGTGTGAACAAAATTGGTTTTTCTATAAACATTATAATTTCCACGGTCCAAATCAAAGCACGCAATTATTATTAAATGCTCCATTAAAAGTGTGTCTAGCTAAAAGTTTAAATTGTTGAAGGAAGTTTTATAATTAATTTTAAATAATTATTATTTGATATATTTTTTAAGTACAAATCTTTTGAGGTCTCGTAATTAATTTTATATTATTTTTTAATATATTTTTAAGTAAAAATTTTTTAAACTTAAAAATTATACATTCAAATGAAAAATTATACTTTAAATAAAAGTTATTTAGATTTCAAAGTTGTATATATCTAAACTATCTTGTATTTAGTTTTTTTTTTGCTTTAAAATTATAAATAATCATACTAAATTGTGCTTAATTTTTAAATTAAGTAGAATAAAAACATAGAATAGTAAGATTTAAACTATTGACCGTTTAGTTTAGTCAATAAAACTTTAATATCGTATTAAATAATTATTTAAACTTAAAAATTTAAGATGTTGAATGAAATTCTATAATTAATCTTATATTACTCTTTAATAAGAAGAAGTTCATAGACCTCTCATAAAAATAAAATAATAAAGCACTATTCCTATTATGGATTTATGGGAGGAAATAAGAAGTTCACGATTTGCTTCGATTTCCTTTTAGACAGGCACGAGGGACTAAAATAAAAGAAGTTAAATTTGTATATCATTTCCTAAAATAACATTTAAAAATAAATTTTAAGGAATATATTGAAATTAATGGAGTGCAATAAAAATAATTATAAAATTTATTTTGATAAAATTTTATTATACAAAGAATAAAAAAATAAAAAATGTGAATTATATTATTTAAGTGATGATTTATTTAAAAAATAATTCAAAATTTCATACATAGAAAAAAAATTATATTAGTAAAAAAAATTACATCAAAAAGAAAAAAAAATAATTTGATAAGAATTTTCATAACGTAAATTAAAGAGATAAATTTTAAAAAATAATACTATCTGATATATTTATATATATATATATGAAAAACAACATCATATATGCTTTCTAATTTTTAATACGTATAAAAAAAATAATGATTGTTTTTTCATAATTTTCCTACTCAATTCAATAATGATGATGACTATGAATCTAAATTTCTGGAAAAAAAACCTTGCGCGCGGGCCTGAAGAAGCAGGCTCAGGATGCAAGCCTGTTCGTCGGGATGCAGGAACAGGTCGGCACAAGACTGCGCACCTGGGCCTGGAGAGGCAGGTTCAGGTGGCCCTTAAAAAAAAAAAAAAAAAACCTGTAACTTCCATCTTAAACTATTTTTAATGTTTATCCTTGGTCGTTGCATAATGTACACATATAATTAATGGTCATTAACGGCTATAAATTCATCTTGTCAGTTTTCAATTTTCATGCTTGAGTGCTTAATTTCGCTCAGCTTGCCAAAATCCCCAAGCAAAAGATCCATCGATGCAGTTGGAATATTGAGTTTGAATATTTAGGAATTAATGGTATTAAGTAAAATACTAAAAGATTTGAGCCAAATTAACAATAAATCACTGTTTACTTACCTTAAATCACTATTTATTTAGTGTTTATTGATGATAGTTTTTGTAATTTTTACGATGTAATTTTCATATTTTTGTAGCTTCTAAATTGCTACTTTCTATTATATATATTAGATATCACTTGTAATGCATCGTGTATAAATTATATATTTTTTGTTTATTTTTTTACGAAATAATTAATGAAAGTCACTCCGGAAGCATAAATAAGAGAGATTTTTATTTTTTATGATCATTCTTGAATTGGCAAACAATGGCAATTCTAATGCGTGGAATTCATAGCTGTAAATGTAAGGCCACAAATTTCCTTAGTCTAGGCCACCTATTCTGACGAAATTTAGAGCCTCCTTGAATTTCCTTAAAAAAAATTAGCAGTTAGCTAGGCACAAATTAGGGAAGGAAGGCTTGAACAACTTGAGAGGATAAGTTGACCAATTTCAAATTCCGAAGTTTTATTCGCAAGCCTGACGTGGTAACAAAATTGGTTTTTCTATAAACATTATCATTTTCACGGTCCAAATCAAAGCACACAATTATTATTCAATGCTCCATCAAAAGTGTGTCTAACAAAAAGTTTAAATTGTTGAATGAAAATTTTTAATTAATTTTAAATAATTATCATTTAATATCTTTTTTAAGTAAAAATCTTTTGAGGTCTCGTAAATAATTTTATATTATTTTTTAATATATTTTTTAAAAATTATACATTCAAGTGAAAATTTATACTTCAAATAAAAGTTATTTAAACTTCAAAGTAGTACATACTCATACTATCTTGTATTTAGTTTTTTTAGACTTTAAAATTATAAATAATCATACTATTTTGCCCTTAATTTTTAAATTAAGTAGAATTAAAAAAAAAGAATAGTAGCATTTAAACTATTTACGGTTTAGTTTAGTAAGTAAAACTTCAATATCATATTAAATAATTATTTAAACCTAAAAATTTAAGATGTTGAATGAAATTCTAGAATTAATTTTACATTACTCTCGATCTGATAAGTGATAAGAAGTTAATAGACCTCTCATAAAAATAAAATAATAAAATGATAAAACAATATTCCTATTATGGATTTATGGGAGGAGATAAGAAGTTCACGATTTGCTTAGATTTCCTTTTAGATAGGCACGAGGGACTGAAATAAAGAAAAAAAAAAGGAAGAAGTTAAATTTGCACATCATTACCAAAAATAACATTCAAAATTAATTTTTAAGGAATATATTGAAATTAATGAAGTGTAATAAAAAATAACTATAAAATTTATTTTGATAAAATTTTATTATATAAAAAATAAAAAAATAAAACATGTGAATTTTATTATTATTTAATTGATGATTTATTTAAAAAACTAATTCAAAATTTCATACATAAAAAAAATCATATTTATTAACAACGAAATGGTAAGTTTTTAAAAATAATATTATCTTTTATATGTATAGTAAGTGGTTCCAAACAAAGAAGTTAAATTAGAACTCAATTGAATTTAACTCTAGTTGTGATGAAGTGATATTAGAACTTAATTGAATTTGAGTAATTTTAATGGCCCAACTCTGGAGGTTTGCTTTTTTTGTTTTTTTTCCAAATCAAGGCTTTTTTAAATTTTTATTCTTAAAATAAAGCGTTTTTAAATTTATTGGCTTTCTGTGCCATGTAAGACAAATGTTCATTACTAAATACTAATCCATGCCATCTTTAAAAAAACATATAAAAAAATTAAATTAAAAGTAAAAGCTGTCATATCTCACTTTTCTTGATTGAATCCTAGCTAATTAAATCATCAAATCTTATATATTTATTTTATGGATTAATTTTAACAATTTTTTTCTTCAGATCATCAAGACATATTTTCAATAGAACGAAGATATTGAGCGTATTGAATTGCTAAAGAATTAATTAGAAGTATGATTATGGTTTATGTAATAGAGCCTTCTATAATAAACTAATATTCCTCAAATAGCTTTTGTGCCATAAATCTAATTTATCTGGATGCAGTGATAGTTCCAATTCTTTTAGGCTAAATAAAAGAGAAAAATCTTTGACTTTGATTTCTACAACAAACACCAACACAGGTTGACAAATAAGGCAACAATAGGATTCAATCCCAACAAAATTTCAACTAAATGTAATGGAATCATCGAAGTGATCTCAAATAACAAAATCACTCACAGTATCATTTCTCAAAACAAAATCAGACTAAAATTATTGGAACAGATATATAAAAAAAAGCATTCTGATTGATAAATGGAATATATATATATATGATAGAAAATTTAATTAGGATTTGTTTGAAGGGAAGAGGGTTTTCTTTTTTAATTTTTTTTTCAATAAGTTACAAATTAAAAAAAAAAAAGACCTGGAAAATTGATATGCATTTAGGTCCCATAAAGCACCTTATGTACGTAAACATGTTAAAAAGAATCTTATTTTTTAAAACAAGGTTTAAAACTACTTTTTTTTTTTTTTTGGTTTGGCAGGGGGAACCCCTTCTAAAACATGGATTCACATGGTGTTTTTTTATACCAGTCCTGGCATTTTAACTTAAAGAAAACATGAGATTTTTATGATAGTAAATGAAAGAAATTTAGTCTTTTAATTAAAATTTTTGATAACCACCTTGTTAATATAGATATTTTTATTTATGTGTAAGTTTTTAATTGGTATCCAGAACTAGTATAGAATCAATCTAATTATCATCAATCCACCTTTTTTTAACCACCATCAGCACAATTTAATCGTTCAGGATCACAATACACATCTATAGATAAAATGATTTGTTTGGATCTATTAACTTCTATTTTTTACTTATGCCATATGTTAGGAAAACCCTTTATATATATATATATATATATATATATATATATATATGCGTGCGCGAATTACTTTGTTGACATGCAAATATAGATTACAATCAAGAGGAAACAAAAAATCAGTTGGATTTAGATAAATTAACCTTTAATTATAAATCTAAAGTGATGACTGAACGCAAATCAAGGAAAGACAATTTTCATATATTAATAAACAATTATGAGAATAACTAGAATGAAGAGACATCACCTCATCACCTTTTTTTTTACCCAAAGATTAATATATCTCAACGTACAAATGTAAAAATCGCCATCTCGCACAAGAGAGGCAGCAATTGCCACAACATGTCATGCAATAACTTAGGAGAACAAATCCAAATTAAATACTGCAAAATCATAGGAAAGCATGGTGTTTAACGAAGAAAGAGCTCAAATCCTAGTGGATGGGTTGCTTGGGTTGATTGGGCGGTTGATGCTGCTAGTATTGTCGGTGGGAGTACTGTTCTCTGTGTTCATCCCCAGAGTGTTCTTCACTGCCTCAGCTGCTCCTTGGGCCATGTTCTTCACTTGCTCCCCTGTCTGCAAACAAATTAATTACATTATTCTTACTGATCTTAAACTGTAATACTATAATGATCATAATTACTTATCCATTACAAAAATAATTAATGTGTCTACTATAGATAAAAATGCATAAGAGATTCAGGTGTATTTAACTATTTGTAAAATTATAATAAAAGATACGCTCTTGTGCATTATAGTAGCAGAGATGGTTGTGATTGTGGTGCCTATAGATAATTAATAACAAAAGTACGTATGAAAGTAGAAAACAAAACAAAGAAGTTATAGGCAATATTGCCTGATGAATAAAGTTGGAAGCTTGGGCAGTGTAGGAACTGTCTTGGGTGGATTCGTTACACCCTTCCTGGCACTGGTTTAAAAGATCATCCTTCTTGGCCTGTAAAGAAAAGTAAAAATTAATTAAGTACATTATGGTATGTATGTGTAAAATAAGAAGATTCTAACTCATATATATAAAATCTAATAAATAGAAATGAAGCGTAAAAATGCATTTAATTTGATATCAATCTTGTAAAATATGCACCATAAAAAACTGGAAAGTCACCTGAATTTGACCGGTTAGTTCGCCGGCCTGATAAGTAATGTCATTACCTCTGTTTGCCATTTCTTTCTTTCTTACTTCTTTTATGATTGAAAAATGCAGATTGATTGAATAAAACGAAAAGACTGAAAGGAAATTTATAGTTAAAAAATACATTCAACTTGTGACACGAAGTGCCCCCAAATAACATGTAATGACAAACACATGTCATGATATAATACAGTTTGATTATGGAGTATAGAATGTTTCAAAGGAGTGTGTTTAATTAGTCAACAGGGAGAAACCCTAGGCTTAGGGTCCGGATAAAGCTTGGCTCTAAATTAATAATGCGGTTACACTATACTTACACTTGGATACCATGCCGAAATATTTACGTAAAAAATAATACCATGCCTAAATTCTTTATGCGTCTTGTTACCATATTTATCTAAAGGAAAAAAAAATTAGAGTCGAATTTATGGTAACAAGTGATTTTGACACAACATTAACTAGTTTGTAACTTGAACTCGAACGGCATGTCGTTTAGTGGGTAAATAAAATTGAAAGACCACCATGCAAGCTCAACAGCTACCCTTCTACCGCCTTCGCCACCACGCTCAACCCATCCCCAGCCTTCATGATATTCTGAAGCCTAGCCTCATCACGGCCAATATAAAACAGTAAAAGGCAAGGACCCATCGCCCACAGGCCCAATATTAATTGATGCATTTGTAGCCGGAACGGGAACTTGACCCTAATTAAACAAATTATGTAATTTAATTTAAATTAATTCTTTCTTCTCAAACAAAGATGGTTGCCAGTGAGGGCACAACAAGAGGTCTCCTTGAGGCTGACAATTTTATTCGTTTTTTTTTTTTTTGGAGTTTCCTTTTTAATTATTTATATTAAGGTGGTAATATAAGGATTTTTATATTTACAAAAACAGTGATGGAAACGGATAAAATTGCCTAGTCTATTAGAGATGAACATGGTATAGTCTGACCATATGGAGATTTAAAAATCCACACACACACACACACATATATATAACGAAAAAAGTATGAATAAATTTACTTTGAGAGATAAATGACTTACTAATTCTATCATATATATATATATATATATATATTTTTGTTAATTTGTTGAAAAGATTAAAACAATTATGTATTATCACACTATAATTATACCCAAATTTTATCGCATACAATTCTTCCAAGGAATTAAAAGGTTTTAGCATACAACTTTCTAAAAAGAAGATTTAAAAATATGAAAAAAGCATTTTTTAAAATTTTAATTATGTTCTAGTCTACTTAAGATTTAAATAAGGTTGAGGATTTTAGATCGGATTTGAGCGGGCTCGAAATGATGAAGGAGATTGTATGGCCTTGAATTTCGTGTTGAGACTACGAAAAAAAAAAGAAAAAAAAAGAGGTTTTACCCTTCGTGTGCTTATAATAGGAGTGGCTTCATCATTTCAAAATCAAGTCACGATTGAGATTGGGGCCATATATATATCCCTAATCGCCCAAGTATGTGTGGGGTAATTTTGCCCTCGGCGAGTACTAGCTCGGTCTAATCCATCCTCGACGAGATTCCGTCATGATTTAACGAGCAACAAAGTAAAGAAAAGGTTTCTAACCCGAGTTCAAAATCATGCATTTGCATTAAGTATTTATTTGTATATATTTCTTTTGCATATAGTGAAGTAAACATAGGCGCTCTACTCAATCCCCTCCGTGCATCTACAACACTCGACTTCGGATTCGCCAAATGAAGAACGAAGAAAGACCACGACAAAAGCTAATTAGTCGGTAAGAGTTTAACACGTTAAAAGAAAGTATGGCTCGGATGACATTCCTGTTAGAGCAAGCATTAAGAGAGGGAGGTAGCTTGAATCAAGGACAACCCGAAGTACAACATGCTTGTTCCATCACCTCATCGGTCGGGGCCTTCCAATCATACAACTTTTCAAGCCGAAGGTTCACATCCTATCGGGACATTTGCTTACCCCATGGACTCGAGAGTCCCACAAATACCTCCAACGGATCCTATAGAAGAGGAAGCTCATGGTCCTAGGGCGGTTGAAAACCCAAGCATGGATAGACTTATGGCATTAGAAGAACGCTTAAGAGCAATGGAGGGGGAGGACGCCTACGATCCGATTAGGGCCTCCGAAATGTGTTTGGTGCTCGATGTAGTGATCTCGAGGAAGTTTAAGGTGACAGATTTTGCTAAATATACCGAGACCCGGTGTCCTATGACCCACTCGAGGGTATACTTGCGGTAAGATGGCAGATGTTGTTCACGATGAAAAACTACTCATACATTTCTTTCACGAGAGCTTAGGCGGATCGGTATTGAATTGGTATACGAGGTTAGAGGGGTCTAAGATTAGAGGATGGAAAGATCTAGATAATGTTTTTCTCAAGCAATACAAGTTTAACATGGAAGTGGCTCCGAATCGTTCGGATCTCCAAGGTATGGGAAAAAGGGCTAAAGAGACCGTTAAGGAGTACGCACAAAGGTGGCACGAGGTAGCGGTTCAAATCCATCCACCATTACCAGAATATTAGTTAATCTCGATATTTTTGAATACTTTCAAAGCATCCTACTTTGAGTATTTGATTGGTAATGTTTCAACCAACTTCATCGATATTGTTATCATAGTCGAGAGGGTGGAGTAAGCAATTAAAGCTGGAAACATTTCGAAAAGAAAAAAGGTGATGATAACAAGAGAGCGAGATGAGGAGATACATCGAGTTGGGACTGGATTTTATCCATCCAAAAATCAAGGGAGTCACTAAAGAAAGCATAAAAACCATGATAGCTACAACCAAAGACCTTCATTCACCCACTACACCCCTAGCCCAACAAACACCATGAACCAAACATACTCATCAAATCAATCGAACCCATCTTACATACCTCACCAAACTTACCAAGTAAACCAATTCTCTCAAGCTACTACATATTTTCGAAATCCACCAATTCACAACTAAGACCACAAAAAAGAACTCGAGCAACTACCATCCTTACTTGTCTCATTGGGTGAGATGTTTGAACATCTAGTGAGTACTGGATCGATTACACCAATTCCCACCAAACCAAAGCTCGCTCCTTATCTCGTATGGTACTAGTAAAATGAACGTTGGGAATATCATTCGATGCTACTTGGACACAATATCGATAACCGTCCTACTTTTAAGAAGAGGCTTTTAGCTTTGATTAAGAAAGATAGATCAACCTTGATAGCTTTTTAAATACTCATGATTTGAGCATGGATCAAGCTGCCAAGCCATACGAGTTGCCAACGCATGGAATGAAGAGATGGTGTGAGCTTGAAAGATATGGTGATGATGCACACTCATCGATCTGCAAATGTCATCTTTTTAATTTTATCGGATTTTAAAAACTATTTTTTTGAATATTTTGGTTATGCATGAGTTAAGACGTATATTTGAATGAAAAAATGCTTTAGTTTTCTTTTGCAATTTGATATTATCCGATTTGAAATCAAGAGATGTTCATTTGAAAGTATTCATTGGCATTAGCATCTTACTCCATTGAGGAAGCATAACGGCAAATTCATTTAAAGAAATTTTTGCAAAAATTCATCAAATTTCAAAACGTGATAGATATATGCTAGAGATAATTTTTTCAAAGTTATATCCTCCCGATAGCCTTTACGAGCGAGAAAGTAATCAGCGAAATCCTTCATTTTGTTAAGAAAAAAAAAGAAATCCTTTATCCTTTTTCAAACTTAACCTTTGAAGGAAAATTATTGCCTAAGAAAACACGAGTAAAGCCCAAAGGAAAGACTCAATGATTGGTGCCTTAAATAGTGATGAACATCATTCATAATTAATCATCATCGTTTAAAAGAGATTAGTGTGTAACGACATAGGTGAATCGATCTATGAGATGAGGAAAGGCCATCTTTCATATGTCTTACATAAATTTTATCCTTCGTCGTCCCACTTTGAGCTTGATGATTTTCTTCATAATAACCCAAACCGGGATCACCCCTCACACCGAGGGAAAAGTGTATAGTCCATGAATGATCAATGAAACTCTCAAAAATTTCTATCAAAAGAATCTCATCAATTATCTTAAGAGGAAAAAAGAAAAGAGAGGAGACAAAAAAAAAACTTTTTCTCGAACATAAAAATTATAAGTCAAGATGGGAATCAAAATTCAATAAACGAGACAAAGAGAGTTGAGGCAAGAAAACAAAGTCAAAATAACAAAATCCAGATGGCAAGCCTAGAAGAATTTTCTCGGGGACATAGCAACCTAACTAACGGCTCAAGTGATAAAGTCTAAGCGACGTGACCTAAAGAGATTTTCATGGACAACAAAGTGATTCTATGTCAAAAAAACTTCAAACACATTTTAAGCCTTTATATCCTTCTTTCATAAACCCATTGCCATAGCACTGTATTACGTGCTTTTGCAAGTTCTTTCGATAAAAGAAAGTCAAAGAAAGTTTACTTAGGTTCTTGGATTCTAATCTCAAAAAAAAATGATGATTGAGGAAAAGAAAGTATGATGAGTCGGTATACTTGTTTATCATTGAATCATGAGTCTTCATCAACAAACCTTGGGGGCAAAATAAACGAGAATCAATATATTCTAAAGCAAAATTATCTTTAAAATCACTTATTTTTTTCAAATGCTTTACTGCTAATTTTTTTTTCATTTACCCGAAATGAACTTATCTTTGGATTAATTACCTTCAAATCCCTCAAATGTCAACTTTTATGCAAACTTTGCATGACCCAAACACTTTGTTTTTGCTTGTTTAGCCCAACTTTCTTGAAGAAATCGTATTATAGCATTTGAATGTCATGATTTGACTTTTGATCAATAAATTTAAATATCTTCATGAATGAAAGTATTTTCATCGGAACATCTCTACATTTCGTTCAAATAATCTGAATTGTTTTAAGAGAATCATTCAAATATACGACTCAATCCATAAGAGCCAAATGTTTACGATCTTTTTCAAAAGATGACAAAAATTTTAAGATCAATTTGCAAATTGTGATACAAGCATCACGAAACAAGCATTCAAACACAAACGGTGATTATGTTAAAAAATGATAAGTGTATGATCTCAACCAACACTTGTGGGCATTTCATAGCTCGATTGAATGACATTTTGTAGAGAATAATTAGGGGTAAGATCAAGAGTCTAGAAAACTCAAGTTGAGTTTAACAACTTGTCAAACAATGACATCACTATGCTATGCTAAATGGAGGAATAGAAGTCAAAATAGTATGCTTTTGTGCTCAAATCAAAGCAATCAAAACGATCAAGCCGGGGGCAAAGAGCGACTCTAAGGGAGGATAATGACTCGATCAAAATTTGGTAAGCGGTCAAAGCAATCAAGCATGATTTTACAAGTATGGATCAAAGCATGTGGTGGTTTATCACTTTCCGGCATAGAAAAAAAAACTCATGTTCACTATGAATAGTGGTTCAAGCCTTGGGGCGAGGAAATCTTGACAATACCACGAGATATAATCCAACATAGATTTACGAAATGAGGCAAATGGGGGATTGAGTACGACAAGGTAGGACGGCCTATGTTTCTTTCGGGTAAGATTGTTGTGAATTTCAACTAAAAAAAAAAAAACAAACGAACGTTCAATCAAACTTGAAATTCAAACAAGGGGGTCACATTTCCTTACACATT